TCTGCATTTTACCCTGAGTCTGCATTTTACCCTGAGTCTGCATTTTATCCTCATTCTGCATTTTAATCCCTGTCTGCAGTCTGCAGTCCGCGGTCTGTGTTTTACACTGACCGCCTATGTTATCTTATGGTAACATGGTCACTTGGCCGAATCTGAGTACGGTAAGAACGTAATCGTAAGGTTTTTGGTATGCTACGGTGGCATATCTTGATCGTTTGGCCTCGCTATTGCTCAACCGAGCTCGCCTGTTACGTTGCTGAAGCGTATGAAACAAGTACCATTAGGCACAAATTAGGAACACTTCTGGACTAACAAACATGTACTTTTGTAAAGATGTACACTCTACCTAGAATAAACAAGTTATTTACGTACCATAATCAATCATAAACGAGGCCGTCGCCAGTTTGCTGTATTGGATACTTGGCTTAAGTGCGCGATCATCCCATGGGCAAAAGAATTGATTTGTGACCAACAACCAACCCTTTTCGGTGTTACAACCAACATACGGGCCGGTAACTTTAAAGTTGCCAACTCCGAAGAGGCCAAAATTTACGGTTGGGGCAGTTTTGAGGTCAACCCAAGGAGACGAAATAAGGTTTGCCCGTGAAAACCAGTCCAAGTTGTTTGTGCCCATAGCACTGAACTCGAGAGAAACGACTTCAACGTCGTTCTCGTACAAAACCACGCGAGCCTGAAAGTGCAGTCGCAACTCATATCACATTGCTTTTTAAAATGAAATACTTTAAATACCATTCGACAAACATGATGCTTGCCATTGGGGAAGTCTCTGTCTTTGCGATAACGAATCTAATGGCTTTACATTCAAGATATTAGTATACAAAGTTTTCAAACAAGTTCTCTGATTTACAATTCTATTTCCAACACATACATGAGTTATGAAAGGGTACCGTGCGTTATTGGGAATGCACGATTTGCCTAATCAGACAACAGTAGACACGCGTACAAGAGCTGTTTACGTATTCATCAAATAATTATGTAATGTAACAAAAATGAGAGGCCTTGTTTTACCACATTTCCAAACATAGAGAACGGAGTTGAAAGTAGAACGTGGAAGAAAACAAATGTTTTACGAACTTTGAGGCGTTTGAAAATGTTATGAAACACTGTCTCGAGTGTTCGCCCTATGTTCTTACTTAAAACTGAAGCTAAGAAGTAAACTGAAAATAGTCGTAACGATAAATGATTAGCGAGTTTCACTTATGTCCAGAAATGCGGGCAGTAACTAAAATGGCAGATTTGACGAAATTTCGTCAAACTGACAATTTTTGCAAATTACATCACCAGACATGGGCCTTACCATGTTGGCGAATTTGACAAATTTGACGATTTTTATGCAAATTACATCATGAGTTACCTGGGTGGGGCTGAAGATTTGGACGAATTTTAGTCAAAGTGGTCAAAGCAAAATCAGCTTTACAGAATTGACGTCAAGCAAAATCAGCTTTGCGGAATTGACCTCAACATGTTGACGATTTTAATTAATTCATAAGGATATATTCTGTTCCGCTGTAAGTTGCCATTCTGTTTGTATCTTTATATTTGTGTGTGTGTGTGTGTGTAAGTGTGTTACCGACCGATAACTGTGTAAATAATCTACGTAACTTAATGTCTGCCCATTCTTTTTAGCCCTTATGGTTATTTTGGGCAGGCAGTACTCTATACTAATTTAATGTTTATTGTAATTATTTTATAAATTGTGAGTACAAATAAATGGTTGTTGTTGTTGTTGATTTTTATCCAAATTAAAAAATTAGAGATGAGCCTAACATGTTGGCGAATTTGGCGAATTTGACGATTTTTATGCAAGTTACGTCACCAGAGATGGGCCACGAAATTGCCAGTTTCACATACGCCAATACATTGTTTTATTTCTTTAAGTTTAGCATTCTTAAGATTTCACAAATATTAAAGCTCTTATTGTGGCATCTTGAATTACTATCAGAAAAAAAGTTCACCTGTCCATCAAAATATTGATGCTGACTGACTATATAACCTTATAATTTTTTTAAGCACAGCTGATAACCTTACCAATCTATTTACTTATTTTGACTGTAAAAAAAAAGTTCAGAGAAGAAATATTTCCATGGATAAACAAAGCTTATGACTTACTAAATTTCTTCAGCTTCACCGCCATAGTAGAAATGCAATGCATTCCCGCCTGGCCAGCGGATTCTTGGTGTTGGTTCCCAGGGTTCCCTTGGTTCAAAATTACACATTCGCCATCTTGGATTCGAGCCGTAAATTTATAGCCGACTTCTTTCGAATTTGGTTACTGACGAATTCCAAGATATATTGACTTTTCTATCATTTGGTTGCTTAACATAAACCTTGTATGTTTTGCGTGGAATGTAAACGGAATGCACCTGGGCTGACGATGCTTAAATCTTGCTTTTTGCTTTTTGCATGCCTGTCTGCCTATCTGGCTTTCCACTATTTTCTTCAAGTATTCCCAACAATATCATGCCACAATGAGAACACTATGTTTTGGACAACTACAGTTAGCAGAACAGGGTATGGATATGGCTAGCTACGTAAGTGTAACTGACTTTGTGTGGAGCAACTGGAGAAACATTTGCAACAAGATTATTTATATTTTTCTGCATATCATATTAGCCACGTAACAAGTTTGTCGCTTTTACCAGTAAACTTTGTGGGTTCCCTTTAAAGAAATTCGTCAACTTTCTGGGGCCCTTCCAGTCAGGTCATGTCTATTCACTGACAAAATTTGTCAAGAATCTTGGCGAAGTTTCGTCAGAATCGTCACTCTCGCTTAATTCGTCGACTTTCGGGGGCCCTTCCAGCCAGGTCACATCTATTCACTCGCATAATTCTGTCAACAACCTTGACGAAGTTTCGTCAAATTGTCACTAATGCCAAATTCGTTTCGCCAAATTCGTCGCCCAAATTTCCACAATATCGTCAACAAAATTTCGTTAAATCTGCCGGTTTCGTTACTCCCTGCATTTCTGGACATATTTCGCAAATTTGAGAAATATATTCTAAACAGATTCTAACCTGTTGCGGTTGGAACGTTTGCCAATCCAAGGCAATACGGTTTTTGTTATGTCCAGGATAGGTTGTATCTGTATTCAGTGCATCATAGATATTTTCAGAATGGGTGTAAGGTGACACCCACAATTGACCAACTTCTGTTGGAGAAGAGCCACCGACAACTTTGAATACCATTGTCCAACCTGTTAAAGAAAGATTTTCCCATTCAAGAATTACTGTATGGAATAAATGCAGGGAACTTGAATATAGCCAAAAAGTTTACGTGGAGCTTTACCCCTGAACTTTACTGTAGGGAGAGACACTTATGGCGAACTAAGCAATTTACTAGTTAAGTGACACGCATCTCGCTTACTGTTTGAATCAACAATAAAAGTTATGTTTATAGTGTTTCTTGCTGCCTAAACATATTGTGATATTCTGTTGTGTTTTATGCACGGTCATCCTTGATAAGTCTGTTTACTAACACAGCGAGCTTTTCGAAAATCAAAACAAAAATACCTCCTCCATCATTTGACTGATCACAGTACACATGGAATGGCGACAGACCATGGTTGAGTATGTTGTAGACTCCAGTTATTTGAGGGGCATCAGAGCAGTCATCTGTTGCTAAGAAACAAAATTATTAAACTTGTCAGATTCAGGGAAGGTTTCATCAGAAGAACGAAAGACGACAATGAATCAATTAGGTTTTTTTATACATATTTAGTTGTAAATGTTTATATACTTCGCTCATTTTTAGAGGGCCGGAGGTTCCCTAGTTTTACAACTGTTAAGTGTCACCTTCTTAAAACAAAGAAAGATTGATTCATTGATTCATTGATCGAATGAATTGGTTGGCAAAGACTTTTTTAATTTTGATGACTAGTTACTCATTAGAAACACTTAGCCAGAATGAAGGATTTGCAAGACAAATTAAGTTACTTTTGAGATTCAAGAATGGCTACTTTTATAGGTGCCACTTAAAGGAGATGATGAATATTTGTCTCCTAGAAAAGCACCTATCTTCATGTCCATATGAATAGGTGTCTACCTTGCTCGTTTCACCCTACATCAGTCCTTACCTGTACAATCACGTCCATCACCAGTGTAGCCCAGGCCACAGGTACAATTGTAGGACCCTTCAGTGTTAACACAATCACACAATCAGCATTCACATGACAATCATGACCGCCATCTAGATTGCACTCGTCGATATCTAGATTTCGGATAGAATGGAATTCAAAGATCTCATTGTTTCTACAAAAATGATGGCGGCTACTACCGAAAGGACCTGACTATTTAATGAATAAAATTATTACAAAAATCCCGAAATTCTCTGCGCTTATTTTCGGAGGGAGCCGGACTTATTATGGAAAGTGGATATTTATTGGACATTTTCACGTCTTTTGCGTCCTAATCCGATCGCGACTTATTTGATTGCATTACTAGAAAACCATGTGATCACGTCTTATAAAACACTTAGAAAAGAAAAAAAAAGTAAGGTAGGAACAATAACAATTGTGCCATATTACGTAATCACAAGTTGAAGTAAAGAAGTTAACCGGAGAAAATCAAGAGGAAATGAGAACACTATAGTTAACCTACAGTTAATTGACAATTATAATCTCTTGTTATTTAAAGTCTGTCGTTATTTTTTATTTGCTCGCTATATCGTTGTAAGAGAAGTTTGAAACTGAAACAAAACTCATCAAACATGATACAAAGGCAACGAAAAAAAGCTATGTTCCAATCACCTTGACTGCAGCTGGATCCAGTGAACCCTGTCGGACAGATGCAGCGGTAACCTTTACTGATGCATCCAGCTTGACAAGTGCTATTTTCGACACAAGCACCATTGCTACAAGGACTCTGATAAAGCAAGAAAAACAATTGAGACGAAAACTCCGTACTGACTTAGCTAACCTTGTTCCTTGGAAAATGCTAATTTTATCATCGTCCTTTTTTGGCTTTTCAGGTCTGGCATTCAATTTGTTGCAACAAAACTCAGATATACCTTGACGACCCCAACTTTTGTTTGTTTTGCTTAGGGCTTGTCGTTTACACTAGTGAAACAGTAAGCCCCCATACTGCCCATTCCCCGAAAACAAAATGAAATTCTAAAAGTATATACCTGCGTTCCCCGATACGTGAATTCCATACGCGGCACCAAATCTTCCGGATGCAGTACCCCATTCGAATCGCTTATCACACACAAGTATTGATGGTCGTCTAGAGGCCCAACATTAAAAGACAAACAATTAGGCTCGATGAAACATTTAACGTTGCAGATGTCTTCTCTTGTTGTGTTGATATTTAGTATCACGTGATTAGTTAGAGCTCTGCCCTGAACAGGTTGGGAATACTTTAGTTGACGGCATTCTCGAGCTGAAATGAAATGAAATACCAAGACCTTTTCACTACATCTTTTCCGCCGTTGGGGAAAAAAAATCCCGTAATTTTTGATCGATGCAGTGTGGTACAAGGCAGTAATAAGATATCAAAATTTCCGTACTTTTACGTCTATCGACCAGACAATTACTCTTCTATGACGCAGTCTCCTCGCCGATCGAGTTGAAACAAGTGTTGATGTCTTTTCAAAGCTTTGAAGTCCCTAAACCTTCCCTGTCTATTCCCTAGTCACGTAACGCAAGTTTTGCTTTAAATAAAAAAAAAAAAAATTATCACCGGGAACATCACCTTTAATTAAATCACTTCTTTATTCTTCCTTACTTGTTTCCTTCCACAAGTAACGGGACCACTTGAGCCTGACTAGAACATTGCATTATTTAGCCTAACTCAAAATGGTTTAGCAGTGGGGTAAGCAGGGGAAGTGTTCGATGAAAACACAGTGTAAATGCAATGAAAACACAGTGTAAGTGTTCGATGAAAACTGAACAGTTGTAGTCATAACCGTGTCATCGCATTATGAGAGTGCAATTAAAGGGCTCATAATCTTCCTGAGACAAGTAAGTTTCTCTAACCCGTAACGAAGCCTCGTTGTAAGCTAAAATATATCTTCCTACCTTCACTCACTGCCATATAAGGAAGATAACAAACCATCCATATCATGATGATCGTCCACATCGATTCGTTTGATTAGAACCAACCGTCTAGATTCCTGAATGCCTTAGCCAGCTTTAATTTAGTAATTACAATGAAGGTGAAACCTCGTCAGCGTGCCAAAATGGAGTGCCGCAGTAAAAGTCTTGAGAAAGCAAGAAATAAATGGCGGTGTGAGGCAAAGACATGTACAACAACAACAAAACCGAGCTGAAAAGAAAAGACAGCGGAAAAATTCATTTACTAGTTACGTTCATTCTAGTTTCAGTTTTGCTTTCCAGTCATTAATAACAACTGAGAAAAACAACTCCCAAACAAAACGTTTCGCCACCTGCCAGCCTGGGTATTCAGTTAACTACTCCTAAGCCAGCCTTAATCATGCTTAATTAGACGTAGGGCCTTATTTAATCAATGAAGTTAATGTAACAAATAGGTTTCCGAGCCCAGCTAATTAAAAGTCACTGGTCAGAAATTATTAGTTCAGTTTTGAATGATACAGTGAGGTTTATTTTTGCCTCATTAGAGTAAAGTCAAATCAAGAGAAAATGAGGGGCATGATCTCTTGCTCAAACTCGAAGAGTTGGACGTGAACCTCGAGTAAACGCTGATCTTAATGAAGCCAGGTGTTTTTAATCACCCTAGTATCAGCTATTCCTATCGAAGATCACCATATATGTACACCTTAATCATAAATGGTTGCTTGCGCCCTGCAATCTTTTGTCGGGAAGGGTTTTCAAAGGAGTTGATAATGTCTCATTACAGAGAATGAAAAAAAAATAGATATATATTTTCTTAGAAGGAAGAGTTGCTTTGGTTTAACTGGATGTAAAATTCGGGGTCAATTAAATTTGACTGAGACACTTTTATGGGAAATCACAAATCACATCCACACAAACGTTCATTGACTAACTACCCTGGCTTTGAAATTATTTGCGTTTCTTTTTTTTGCTTCGTTTTTATTTTCATGTCTTTTTAATTAGAATGGCTATTTTCGATGTCACCATGGTGACCCCTCAAATAAAAACAAATAGACACAATAAGCATTCAATAATTCACATAATGACTCAATTTGACTTTAACCGTTTTTGCTAGAAATTGTTTTGCTTTACTTCCTTATAAAAATATATTTTAATTTGGCGATAGTTTTCATATGTTATGATGTAAAAGTTTGAATAAGCTTTACAAGAAACTTTTCTACTGTACGGAGGATTAAATTTCTTATTCGTTTTTGCACAAAAGTCTATTTTCTGTGTAATGCAAGGTTCTAAAATTTTGTTAACAATGCCCAATTGCAACGTTAAAAAAAAAGAAAAAAAATGGATATTAGAATCTTAGGTGTCTGCAATCTTGAAAATGAAAATTTTCAAAACTCTAAAGTGGCACTGAACCCTACGTACAGATTTTTTTTTAAAAATTGCCAAACGTTGCGTCTTATCATGTTTATTAAAATTAGATGAAATAAACAAATTCAACATGCCGTATTTGAATTTTAGCAGGTCATGCTTTTGCTATGGTGATCTATTGTGTCGCGGAAATGATGTTCACCGATGACTGGGTAGTTTTTTTGATACTAAATAGTGGTTATAATGACCCATCGAAATCTACCTGTAGAAAACTGTTTTGAGCCATGTTAAACATAATAATTTAAACTTACAAACCAGTCTCGTCGTTATAAACCCGATAACATTGCCTCTGGTTGATTTGATGTGACTGGTAGCCATGTCAAGCAACTTTTGATAAGAGATTATTTCGTGGTATGTGTTCACGTACTGATGTATTGCTGATTTTCGGCAGATTGTCTGGCAGTACGGTTTTTGTTCGAGCGAGCCTCGAAAGTCTTGAAATTGGAGCTCGAATAAAAATGGTTTAGTGCGACTACAGTATCTTGGCCGCTATGATTGGTGTGTGCGTTTCAGTTATGTTGAAGAGTTCCAAAGGAAAAGCATAATAATACAGCAATTATTACTCACCAATACGAAAGCAATTATTTGTTTAACCAATATGGCTGCCACCGCCTCGTTGAATCCCTCGTGGTGGGATGTGTGCATGTGTATTGTCAAATAACGCATTTATGGTGCCCTAGGTCTGAACATTTCGACTTCTCGATCCAAGTTGCAAATTTTACAAATAATGTTACTTTATTTACTTTAATTTAACTTAAAAAAAAACATGTCTTTCCTTTGTACATGTGTCTCTCAGCGTCCTCGAGGTTAATTTTGACTTTTACTAAGAGGAGAGGGGTAGCATGTGATTACTTCCGTTCGCGGCCTACAACTTCCGTCTACGGTCAACAACCTTCGTCCACGGTCTACAACACTTCCGTCCACATCTGATACCTCACAAATCTCATTCATTGCGTTTCACGCATGAATGAGCTAAAAAAAAAGTAGCCCTTTCACGCACCTACTTTCAGAACACTGCATTTCTTTTCTAAACCTTTGGTGTGAAGTCAATGAACAATATTACGGAAGAACATCAAGCATTACCAGCAGATGCTAACAACACGTTCTAACAACATTCACTTCCCGTTCACGTTATATCCAAATGAAAGATTTCCCCACCATTTCATATGCATCAACTTGTAAAATCCCTACCCTTTTATATACCTTAAGCCTGAAAAAATATACCCTTTTCGGATGGAGAATTCCCGTACAGAGCGTTCTTGGGAGAAGTCCCCTCACTCTGGGCGTTACACATGACGAATTCCCCTATGGTAAATACAGCGATGACATCTGACAAGGCCAGCGCGTTTTGCGGCACCATTGAATCCTGCGGAGGAGTAGTGTATGGGCCGGGGGGAGGAGGAGAGGAGGGACGATGAAGTGGATAGTTGTTGCTATAACAGCTGACAACTTTGCAAAAGGTCTTGTCAATTAGCTAATAACCCAAACTATGAAGAAGCTCCAATAACAGCCTGCTACAAATTTGACTTCCTTAGTTTGTTAGTCCTCTTGTAAAACTATTCCATTTTAGTATCACCCAACTAGTGGACTAATGCAAATCCTGCATTCTGATTGGCTACGCTACTAGAGGACTATTAGTAATAGTCCTCGAGTAGCGAAATTGGCGCAATTGAGCGCGACGCTTTCTTTCGTTTTATTCCCAAATAAATATTTCTTTAACTTGCATTTGCTAACTTTATTATAGCCTTTTCTGTCCGACTAGTTGGGTGATACTAAAACAATTGGACCCTTCGCCCTCAAGGGCCACGGGTCAATAGCCCATTTGGCTTCGCCTCATGGGCTATTTACCCGTAACCCTTGCGAGCTACGGGTCTAATTGTTAAATATACCTTTAACAGCGGATTGTCTTTTGCTGGTTTTACTTCTTTGACCACCTATGACACAAACCTATGTTTAAATGTTTAAATGTTTAAGAGGCTGTCTCTGTAAGAACCGACCACTGATTTTACTTCGAAAATTCGATTTTTCTCATAAGCTGGGATTTCGAAGCCCTTACCTAGTCAATCACTAAAATTAGTTTTATTTCATTAAAAATTCCAATTGAAGTTTTCTAGGATTGATTGAAGTTCGGTCCGCTCGACACAAGTTTCATGCCCGCCGAAACTGGAAAAATAGCAGATATTGCCGACGCTCTAAAAAGAATAATATCCGCACAAAAGTCCCAATTCTTTTTTTCAACTATAGATATATCCCAGTAGTTTGTTTAGCCATGTTGCAATTATAATTCAATGTTGTTCCTTCAACGATTAAAAGAAGATTTTCTACCCGTTAAATCGAGTTTTGAACCAAAAGCGAAAATAGAGCTATTTTCGCGTTTGGTTCAAAACTCGATTTAACGTCCGGGGGAGGGTAGTTCTAAAAAGAACTGTTGCTGGTGACTGACTGAAAGACAACTTTAGCAGAAGTCATCCACAGAGACAAGTGAATAGTGTTTGTCAGTCGATGGTGTTATAAGTCTGTCTTGTGCGCCGAAAGTTATTGGTCAGTTTAGCCATGATGGTGTTGGTTGTAAAACACATGTAAACTGTTGTCAGCAGTTCTTTTCAGAACTACCCTCGCCCGGACGATCACACTATGCGAGCTACTGATACTCCTGGGTTCAAACCAATTACTATTTTCAAATTATTTTGGTTAATAGTGGTCAATAAACTTAGCTTCATCTTGCTAGTTCTCAGGCATGTCAAATAAACTGAAAGAATCAAATATTTCAAATAAACACACAATAGGCTTGAAAACTGTAGGGAGGCAGACTAGTTGGCTATTTACAACCAAGTCCGGAGCCCTAACCACTCGACCACGCTGCCTCCCGATGTGGGGGGAATTCCCATCGGGAGGCAAATGGTCATTCCTATGTTATGCTCTCTCGTTTAAACATTTGTCAAACGATTTTCACATGTTGATCGTTTTCACTTTGGACATAGATAAAAACAAAACGAAAACCAAACAAGAAATCAAAAGACAAACAAAACACATAATGTTTTCCAACGGAATAAGCTGGTTTATCAATAACACACGGTATATGCCTTTGCTTAGAGAGGATTTCGACCGTGCAATAATTCTTCGATTTGCTCGTCTTTGCTCGTTGCACCTGAGAGCAATTTCAGGTGTAAGTAATGACAAGTTTTATATCTCAGTTTGTCTACTTTCTTGGTATAATTTATTTGACGAAATTAAGAAAACACAATTACCGAGCACAGCGCTGGAGAAAGGGTTATGTCGGGCTCATTGTTTTCATGGCAAACCAACTCGGTGTAACTACTTTAAATCGAATAGTTCAACTCTCATACAGGGATGCTGGTGATGTGTGACGGGGTAAAATCTCACGAATCTTGCTTTAACGACAGGAATGAGTGAATGCTTCACAATACTGTTTTGATCTGTGTTTCCTGCGAACACCTGCAAACCGAAAATAACCCTTATAAGTGTTATCTGACAGAAATAATGGCCGCAAAATATGCTTGCTCTGCTGATAAACTCGAGCGCATCAAAGAGAAGTTGGTGTAATAAGAATAAATTATCAATTATAAAATAGTCGTCTGACCAGTTCGGTGTCAGTTATGATTAACATGTCTCGATACAGTTTTTGTTTGGACCATACCACTCATTTTCAAACAGCTTTTTAACAGTCCACTCTTTATCGGATCAATATGAAAATTACACCAGTGACTGGAAATGCATTGAAGTTTGATATTATGTAATTCTTAAGGTAATCGATATTTCCATGGAAACAATAAACAAAAACATTGAAAACCTGTTAAACAAGAATTTTGCGCCAACGAAATGTGATATAGAAAAATCTAATACCAATGTCTTAAACAATATTGTATGGTAAATAGAATATACAAGAATTAAAAAAGTTATGTATTTCTGAACTCGAGTAAATCGTAAAAGCATTTCAAATTCTACTTTTTTCATCATTATAGTAAATCAACCGACAGTTGAATACTGTTTTAATGAAATTGCTTCAAACTATACCAAAAGGTGTCTTAAAGTTATGAGAGTATAGTATGGCAAGATCGATAGTGAGAGTACATTATCTTAGTCACCTTTTCAACATTGTTTTCCTTGTAGCTGTTCCATGTTACTCCATCTGTAGAAAGATGCACTTTGTAGCTGGTGGTCCAAACAGTGTATTCTTTTTCTCCTTGTGTTGCCACTGCACAAACAGTGTGCAATGCACCCATATCAACTTGAAGATAGTCTGTCCTGTTTCTCTTTGTCTTTGTACACCAAGCTCCATCTCCCCTGTTCTCATTCAGCCGGCCATAGTATGGATAATTAACACTATAGTAGTATGTGCTTGCCGTCATTCTGGCATCTGGTATTTTGTTCCTATCCTCCACACCAACAGGTCCACATTCTGAAAGACGAACAAAAAAAACAAACAAACAAACAAACAAACCAAAAAAAAAAGCAATAGAAAGGACAATCGTGTTACTGCGTACGAATATTTTAATCAAATGCCGTCCGGGACATCAATTAAACAAGCTATTAATCACAAATGTACTATCCAGCATATCAATCTTATCATTGATACAACATTTTCTTCAAATCTTATAGTAATTCGAATTCCGAATTTAGAGCTTATATTCAGACCAAGGTTATGATAGCAGAGCTCCGTCGCTTATAATTATTTGCGAGTTATCTTATACGTTTGAACAGCGATTGGTCAGGGGCGGAGATATGGTCGGAGTCCGCTCGTCTTGGTCTCCTCTCCGGTGAACAGGTGCATAATATACAGAGGATATTACACGTTGGCTCAAAGTTATGAATGTTATCTTCGAGTAGCAAAAAACAATATCACGCAAACTAGTGGAGTATTGTTTTTGTAAGGGGAATATGAAATTCATATCTTTGAGTTCAATGTTAATTTTATGATGTAGAGAAAAACTATTGAACGGTGAATCGAGAGCACGGCGGCGTATGTGAACTGCAGCTCGGCGGCTCAGTGGCTGGAATATCTTTGGTTTACTTTTAAGCCTCATGAAGTCCCTTTCTTAATTGTTGCATTTTTGGCGTTTTAGTACTCCTTAGTGAACCATTTTATGTCGGATTCAGTCAATTTAACAACCATGTTGTTCCCCATCTTCAAACCTGCGCTTGGCAAAGGTTTCAAACCGGCAGAGGAGATACAAGGTGTGTTTGTTTATCTTATGGAATGGCCGTGCTTCAAGTACATTTTGAGCGTAACCGAGAGCGAGCTGTGGGGTTTAAAGTGCCTATGAACTGAAAAATAATTGCTACTTATTTGAAAGGATTTGAAAGGCTTTCTCAAATACAGAAGAATTACGTTTTCCTTTGTGGAATATCTTTTTTTCGTTTTAGAGATATCGTCGTTTTTGTATTATCCAAATTAGGAAGCTGATGACGTCATCAGTTGTGCAACTAAAACGGTAAAATACTGAATAAAGAATATCTCTAAAAATATTGAAGCGGTGTTCTTCAAACTTAGCACCAGGAATGTACATCACAAAAAGAAACAAAATCCAAGCTTGATTAGACGAACGCGCTCATTTCTACCAAGTTGGTAATACAGGCATCGCAATTATCATCAGCGGGAGCTCACCTCAAGAGCTCAATGAATACTGGTGAGATTTTGAAGCCTCTAGGTAAATACGGAAAATGAGTCGTATAAATCTATATGCGACAAAAAAACGCAGAAAACAAACGCATTGTACATCTTAGAAGCATAATTTCTCTTTATAAATACCATACGAAAAAAGCAGACGAACGTATCTCGACTCTGAATACGTTCTTCTAATTTTTATAATCAACGGACCAAACAGTCTGTACGTCCCATATTTCCTCAGACGCAATAAATGTTAGACACACTATACGTTTGAAACTCATAAGTGCCCTTCCCAGGTAAACAGAGGAGGGCTCATACAAGCAATGTCCATAATCTTATTCCGGCTGATCGAGAAGCATGATTTCAATGAGATAGTTCCGAGTATATTATAGAACAGATATGGCAGAAGTTTTACATGCAGTACGTTATTACAGCTTTTTCAACCGGTTTACTCGAAAATACAGCTTACATGGACACGAGCGACCACTTCCCAGCAAATCCTCCCTTACAAGTACAGTTATGTCCGCCAACAGTGTTGGTGCAGTTTGCATTCACGTCACAATTATAATGGTTGCCGGTGATACATTCTTCGATGTCTAGATTACAAACAGTTAAAACAATTCTCTCATACTCAGAGAGAAAACCAGAAATTTAAATATATTTTACACAAAGAAGCAATCAATAGCATCGAAAGGCGAGCTATACGCAAAGCAAAACCACAACTGACATAAAGAAAGCTGATTATCAATAACCTTCTAAGTTCATATCGCAATGAACCAAAGCTGCTGCCCCATTCCCAGTTGGATCAAGCCAGTACTTGCTGCTAATGGTGTCTTTGCCTTCGCTCGCCTTTATTTCTTGACATGAGTGCGCTGGGAGCTCCGGAATGGAACCCAGAGGAGCTTTGATCAAGAAAAAAAAAAGATATTACGAAATATACCAAGTCCACAATAGTTTTTATCATGATAATAAACTTTGTTTCTGTCGAACAAGGGTCTACGGGCTGATGAGATGGCACCGGAATTGTGATTTTCTTAATACATACACATATGTTTTCCTGTTAAGAATCGATGACCAATGCCAGAACCTCGAGGAAAAGTTGCTACCTAGCCGGGGATGGGGGAGGGGGAGGAGGAAGGGGGAGGGGGGAGGGGGGAGGGATATATCTGACATTACTAGAACGCTAAACGTTTAATTCTGAACCAAGAACGGCAACCACAACTCTCCACTTGTAAGTTTGAAAGCTCGCATTTTCGCAACCAAAAATTCGATCTGTAGTAGGCTTCAAAGAAAGCATTGGACTTCTGATTGGCGTCCAAGGCTTCCTAAAAATGTCGTACATACCCCGATTGCTCAAGCGTCGTAGGTAAACACGTGCCAGGTCTGAGCGGAAATGTTCAGGTCTTGCCTCTCTGGTGCGGTTACTCAGTTCGCACGAATTTTCCCCTACGACGTAGTTATAGCTTTGACAGGTGAGTTCCCTTTCACAACTGATATCACACTCGTGAAAGGCTCTTACGGAGAAAGTTTTAAAGACGAATCCCTGTAGAGCCATCCCATTTATGCTTCGTACTTCTCTGCATTGCTCACCGGCACATACGTAGTCTATGAAGAAGCCGGCGAAGAAGAAGAAACATGGAACAGTCCACAGCATTTTCCTGGTCTATTTTGCAATTTGTAACTGTAGGAGAGACTAATCTAAATATAAAATCTAAATATAAAATACTTAATGTAAATAAGACATTCATAAAGCTCAAGCTTCGTTCAGTTTGCAAACCTTTAGTAGCAAAGCGAATTGATAGGGCTCGTAGATTTAAGCGATTTCACAAAACTCTGCCAAAATGTTCCTCGATCACTGTTGCACTTAACTGGCATTTTAAATACTTCCTCACTTAGGCCCTTTCATGGTACAAAGATCGGAAATGCTTGACACACTTTTAAAGTCCATCATGCAGGTAATTGACATGGTGCAATTTGTTTGGTCGCACACGCGAATACATAGGCAGGCATTTTAGTGCAGCAAACATCGTCAGTTTTGCGTTTGAAGGCCTGCGTACACTGACACATAGATCAATTTAAATCTTTAAAATAATTATTTCCTTGATTCTACATTATGTAAACTTTGCGATTTTGTCCCACTTTTTTGATCATTGTTATGTTAAAAGGGACGCTAGTGCGAAAAATTCTCTGAAAAATTGATGCTACATTTTATTAGCTTTATCTTTTTCTTCTTATTATTATTTTTATTGTTATTATTATTGTTATAACTATCATTTTTAGTTAAAAGCAACGCGAGTGGAAGAGATTCTGTGAAAGTCACCGCTGAAGGTCTCCAGTAGCCTTGGCAATCAGTTTTGATCGATCAATCATACACTTCTTTTAAGTACACATGTTGCAAGAAATTGAAAAGAATATGTTTTTTTTTTTAGTTTTCTCATTCTTGAGCTTAGCTTTTGGCGTAAGGGTTTTCAATCATATCGGAAAATATTTAAGACTTTGAACTAGCTTAATGGAGTGTGATCACAAAATGGGAAGTTGAAGATCTCGTCTAATTTATTCCCCTGTCATGTAGATTGTCAGTATTCATATTTTACACGTACACATGTATGGTCGAGTGTCACTGAAATCAAATTCTTCATGAGATTATTTCTCTTGTTTTATATCAGTTTCACGGTTGGTAAACTAGTCAAACAATCGAGTGGAATTCTTCACTTTTCTGATTAGCGTTTATGTTTTTGTTTTTTTGTTTTTTTTCGTACTGTTTTAAAAGCTGGCGTTGGCCAACTAATGTTCTTAATGTTAGTCCTGTTTACACGGAGAAGATTTTAGCATTTAGGAAGATCTTGGAAGAAGTTTCATCCTCAGTAGCGCCATAACTTTTCTATACTCCGTTTACATTAGGCCCTACCTGACACCAGGATCCCACAAGCGCTAGGATCTTCCTAGCAGAGAGATAAGAAGATCCTTGTGCTAGGACGATCCGAGCACCTATATAATACCACTCGGAACAAAACACGAAAACAAAACAAAACAAACAAACATGGCGATGACAAGGCGGTCGACTGCTTAACGCCGACAATTTCATCTTGTTTTTCTTCTCAGTTTGGTAACCACCTCGACCGAAGTTTTGCATGTA